GTGTATAAACTCTGAGTTAGTGCAGCTAATTCAGTTAAAAGAACAGGCCTATTAGTTTATATTATGGATTCTGTACTCGTTTACCGATAACTATCAGAGACATTACAATCAGAGACTGGCCATGATTCTGATCCGCCATGTTTTGGCTAAATCCTACGAGAGAAATATACATCTCACTCTAACCAATAACGTGTTTTGGAAGCGATATTTTTTACTTTGCATGTGCATTGATTCAAATGTATGCATGTATATTAAAACATGAAAAGCGCGATAATAAATTATTAAATAGAGATACTAAAATTGCAAAATATAATAAATAAATTAATTTATTGTGATAAATCAATATAAAAAATGGGTGGATATTCATTTTTTATTTAAATTTTATTTTATATTGTAATAAAGTTTGTAATATTAATAATATTATAATAATAATAAATGTGTATAATAATAATAAATAATAATAAATATAATAATCTTTTCTAAAAAAAGGCATGACATCGATACTTGCATCTTTCAAAATTTTCTCGAAGTTTATTGTTGACACTTTTTCGCGATGGGTTTCTCTCGTTGCACTAACTTTCTGAATAGTTGTCATTGTATTGATTTCACAAAGGATTGTTTTGACAATTGTATATCAAAAAATTAAAAATATAGTGTAACAGTAGTATAATAATATTATATTAATTTTTGCTCTTGTGTTGAAAAAAATAAATAGAAAAAAAAAGATAAATAAAATAAATAAAATAAAAGATAAAAAAATAAAAAATGAAAGATAAATAAATAAATAATAATAAATTTAAAATCATTAAAATTAAAAGAAATATATTAATAAATTGGTAATATAATTATATAAAATAAGAAAAGTTTTATAAATATACATATTTTATACCTTTCAAACGCTTATGTTTTTAAATTAATATTACAATTTGAGATTAATGTAGTTAATGTATTTGAAAATAAATGGGAATAGCCAAAAGATGGCGAATCAATCAAAAGTGGCTTTTTCGTAATTAGGGCCGGGAGTCTGTACATGTCCACTGACAACTATATATATTGTGATGTTTTTATTCATATTCGGTTCTTGTTTATTTCTCATAAATCTATTGCATGTTCTCGCTCATCTTTAATATCTGTACCTTAATTATATCTTGTTATATCTTGTTATATCTTGTAATAACTGAAACGCCACAACTTTTCGATTGATATCATTTTAAGCACAATATTTTTGTTTTCACCTCATATATCGAACTCGCTCGTTTCTGAAACTTTAATTGTTAATAACTTTTTAACTAGAGATGTGCAAACGAAAATTCGACCTGTTCGGAAAAAATGCAAACAAAAATCTAATCAAATAATACCATTTTAAGCACAACATTCTTGTTTCTATTTCATCTGCCAAAGTCGCTCGCTTCTGAAACTTTAATTGTTAATAACTTTTTAACTAGAGATGTGCAAATGAAAAATCGACCTGTTTGGCAATGTGCAAACGAATATTTATCAATTGAGCTACTTTTTATTTAATTTACTCATAGTTGGGGGGCTAGTGTGAAGATGGCCCCCCCAAAATTTGTTTTGTTAATAACTTTTTTACTAGAAGTGTGTAAACGAAAATTCGAAATGTGCATACATGTGCAAACGATGAGCAATCGAATGAGCTATAGAAACTTTATGTTTTTCAATGTTAGGGGGCTCTTCACACAGGTGACAACTATCGTTAAGGCCATTGCACGTGAAAAAATTTTAATCGTAATTGTAAGATCATAAGCAAATTGATCAATCAGAATCAATTATTCTCCTTACAGTCTAAAAATAATCGATTGTAGTTGGTCAATTCGCTTACGACCTTACGATTACCATTAAAATTTTTTCTCGTGCAATGGCCTTTAACGACAGCCAAACAGCCGCGCTTTTTTCCAAGATCGTCCTTACCATTGACTATCGTTAGTTAACGACACCGACCGAGTTGTCGGACATATACAGAATCCCGAGCTTCCATATCCATATTCTCATTTTCTTCATATCCATATGCTTTTTTATCGATAAAAACAGGTGCATTGGATCCGGAGAATCAATTATATAAGTCTGTTCTTTTGTTTTTTGGCTGAACTAGTGTACTAGTTCACAGTTTATCTTTTTTTTTACTGGAAGAAGAAAGATAAACTTTGAACTAGTGCAGCCACTTCAGCTAAAAAGAACAGACTCAATATATCTTGAAGCAAAGTAAAAATTACAAAAGTGAGGAAATTTACCAACTTTTGACATATGAAGTTGCAGATACTCTAGTGAATTTCTTCATTTTTGTAATTTCTACTTCGTTTCAAGATACACAATTTTTTTAGATCTAAAAGAATATACCAATCGAAGACAAGAGTTCATCAAGCACGCAAATCCAGCTAGAAAACCAACAGGAAAAAAAACATCGTGTGCCGCTAGCTTTAATTGACAAGTCTACTCCTTAATAAATAAATTATATACTATCGATGTGTTATCAGCTTCTTTTTTAATAAATGAACGTATACACCACGTATACTATCGATGCGCTATCGAGATTCTCCCTTATGGCTTATATAAATGATACATAATTTTTTGGTATCTTGTAAAATATTAATAGATTAGATATTTAAAATTTTAATATTGTTTTCAAATAGAAAGATATATTTATATTTCTTTATAATTTTTTGAAAATTATTAAATTTTACGTTTAATTTATCATAAGTATATACAGAGTGTCTCCAAAAAAATTGCCAAGCGGTCATATGCAGGTAGAACAGACTAAACTGAGTCGAAAAGTCCTGTACTATTTTGCGATTTTCACAATAGTTAACAGGTTATTAATTTATGAAAATAGTCAAATTGCAAAACGCGCAGTGAGACACGCATTCGCCGTTGCTAGGCTGCTCTACATATGCATATGACCGCCATTTTTTTGGGACACCCTGTATATTAAAATATCAAAATTAATAAAAACATGTACATATAACATTATCAGATATTTGAAATCTTTTATCATTTTCAATTAATAGAAACAGATATATAACAAAACACAACACGAGATATATAAACGCTATAATTTATTTAGAAAATACCAAATATAAAGTCAGAGAAAATATAGATGCATGTATATACTTCATGGATCATAGATTTATATTATTTTATACATCTTTCATTTCTTATATAAAAATTGTCTTATATAAATTTTCTCTATTTTATATGTTATAAATCATATATTTTCTATAAATCATTTATGTTTCAAAATGCTTTATCAGTCTTTTAATTTTACACATGACATATCTCATGTTTAGTCTTGTGTTTAAAATTTTTCAAATATATTTTATCAATCTGAACATGACAGTCATAACTTACGATATTCAATTGTTTTGATTATTTCATCTATTCACAATCATAACATATATATAGAACCATAATAATTAATTCATTCCTATACATATAATTATTTTGCATAAATATTAAATGTAAATAAAAGTTTTTTTATAAGCTTTCTACAAAGCAATTATAAAATATTAAGAAATATTATATTAACTATAACATTTCAGTTTGTTATATTTAATACAACCCAGATAACACACTTAATTAAAAATATATTAATGTTTTATGGACTTTCGTGATACTTGGGCATAATATACAGATTTCTTTTATCTTGAGCTATTTGCAACAAAAGTGTAAGCACACTATTTATTATAACAATTGCATGTTATTCAAGATAAAAATGATTTATGTCATATCAATAAAAAATGGTCCCATATACCAAAAATATCATATTTTACAATTCCTCATGAAATATTCTCTATCAAAAATAAAATATGGTAGTATACCTTTCTCTAAATAAGTAAATAATAAAATTATACATACAATATACTTTCTGTCAAGGACTTTGTAATTGCTTATTATCAGATTTTGTCTTTGTAAGTGACACATTAGGTACAGTTAAACTATCACTTGGTTCTTGAACGCTTTCTGATGTATTTGTAGTACTGGATCTTTCACTGTTAGAATTTGAATTTTGGAATTTAGGCGTGGAAGTTCTTCCCTTTAAGAGCACAGCTTGCTCGGTACTCTTGCTAGCTTCTTTGATTGATATCGATGATACATCACTGATATCCGGAAGGCCGTTAGAATCATGTTGTTTCTTAGTGGAGGAAATCATTCTTCTAGCTGTATTCATTGGTGTAACATCAGAATTTGAAGAGGAACTAAGAGCACTTGCTTCTCGAGTTTTCTTTAGCGTCGTAACCGCCCAACCTAAACCCAATTTTTTCAAAGCTGTTTCCATTTCTTCCGGAGATGAAGTATGCTTCAGCACATCTGACGATGGGGAACTCATTATTTCAGAAATACCAGATAATCCGGAGAAACTATGTAAACTAGTAGATGTTGTTTTATGTTTACTTTCTTTATGTGCATTATTAGGATCAATACTTATAGAAGAACCAAGTTTATCTTTTATTTGAGAAACAGGTTCTTCATTAGTAGTATTACATTGTAATTGTTTATTACATTTCTCAAGCATACACTCTCGCTCAGCTTCAAGTTTTGTTTCCGTAATACAATTAGTCATACTTTTTAACTTTTCAGGAGAGTTGCAAATAGTTTTAGTTTCTGGTGACTTCTGTGCAATAGTCAGCTTTTCTGTGGAGTGTTTTATATCAGATAATGAATCTGCTGATTTTTTCAAGAAACTTTGATTCTGTTGAACGGGTAAAGGAGCCACGTGAACTGATGGCTTAGATTTTGTTGGGCTCTTGTGGCTTTTATTAGCTGTATCCGTTGTATCAAATTCTACTATTGTTGATAATTCATGTCCCGATGATTCTAATTCTGGCCTGTTTTAATTAAAACAAAGTAGTTAAAATAATTTATGAAATATAAAGAATACAAAATAAAGGAAATTAAACATTTTTGTTAAATAAAACTTAATTAGATTAATTTTACCTGTATAGGCCATTTAATAATGTAACTGGAGGTTTAGGTCTTGCACTTATTAATGTCACATTTCCATGATTACGCAATACTTTGCCACTTGATATAGGAATAAAACCACTTTCTTTTGCTATCTAAAAATATATATACTATGTAAAAATAGCATTTATACATAAAAAATTATTTTATTATAAATAGTATTTAATTATTTTATTGTATTTTAAGATTTATCTTTTAATATCACAAAATACT